TACATAGTGAGTAACTTCAGGATAGCCAGGGTTAAATAAAGAGACCCTGTCAGAAAGAAAGAAAACAAAAAACCAGAGACAAACTGCAGACAGACATTCTACAATTGTCTCAAGGTATGTATGGAATGTTCCTAATGGCTGTTACTGTCCTAAGAGGAAACTACCAGTCTATCTGTTCTTTTGCCCAAGGCATCCAGGGCTGTAAGGGAGAATCCAACAGCTGCTATTTGGGGAGTGAAGTTACTCTTCCAAAAACCATCTTTGCTTATTTCAGAAAATGATTATCAGGAATGCTTACAAATGAAAATTTAAAGAACTAATGATAAACACTAAAACTTGTAAAATTTAAGCCAATCTTAACAATGCTTAACACCTGTCAAGTGCTTTAGAGATGGCGGTGGGCCCCTTCTCTACCACTGAGCTATATCCCTAGCCTAGTCTATGAGGTAGTTGTTGCTTTGAGATAGACTCTCCTGTAGTATATTTGGCCCAAGCTGGTGTGGAACGTGGGTTCATAGCTGAGTATGACTTTGAACTTCATACTTCGACCTGCCCAGCACTGAGATAGCAGGCTCTGCCACTACAAGCTGTCCCCAGCACAACTACTTTACAAGGTGATGGAGGTTGAAGCCAGACCATCATGCATGCTAAGGCAAACACCAGGTGAGCTACAGTGTCAGAACCAACCTAGGAATCCTTAACACCAAATTTCAACTACTTCAAGGAGACATGAATTCATCTTTCTATTCTAGTCTGTTTAATCAAACTGTTCTCTTTCACAGGAAACATCTTGAGGAAAAATTCCAAATACCAAAAATAAATAAAAAATTTTTAAAAAATTAAAATGAGCTCATGGCTCATTTCCCTCCCTCCCTTCCTCCCTCCTTCCCTCCCTCCTTCCCTTTTTCCCTTCTTCCTTCTCTCCCTCCATCCCTTCTTCTCTCTCTCTCTCTCTCTCTCTCTCTCTCTCTCTCTCTCTCTCTCTCTTGTGCTGAGGATCCAACTTGGACATGCTAGGAATGCATTGTACCACTGAAGAACATACCCAGCCCAAAAACTCAATGTATTATTTCTTTGACACAGGTCTCAAGATGTTATCTTGACTGACTGTATAGACCAAACTGGCTTTAAACCCTTAGAGATTTATCTGCCTCTGTCTACTGAGTGCTGGGATTAAAGGTCTGTGTCACCACTATATCCTGCTATGTTTATTTTTAAATATTTATTGTGTGTGTGTGTGTCTGTCTGTCTGTCTGTGTAGTGTGTGCATAAGCTGGGTCTCATGGAGGCTAGAGATGTTACATCCTTAGACACTGAAGTCATACATGAATGCTCAAGACTCATCCAGCAAGAGAGCTAGGAATCCAACTTTGGTCCTCTAGAAGAGTGGTACGCTCTCAACCATCACCCATAGACCCAAGAAATCAAGTTTAAACTACTACATTTTTAGGCCAGAGTGATAGACTTTAATATAATAAAGACAGTCTTTAATCTCAGCCAGGATAATCTTGCCCTTAGGAGACAGAGGATGGCCGAGGAGACATAGAGACATAGAGAGACTGTTATATTTGGAAAAAGAGGTTATGTTTTTAGTTAGTTTGTTTGTTTCTTTGTTTGTTTGTTTGAGAGTCTCACTATGTAGGCTTGGCTGACCTGGAACTTGCTCTGTAGACCAGGCTAGCCTCGAACGTACAGAGCTCCACCTGCCTCTGCCTCCTGAGTGCTGAGATCAATGGTGTAAGCCTCCACCACCTAACTCAGTTAAGGTTATGGGCTTTTTTTTTTTTTTTAATAGACTTGAATGTAGTAGTTTTCTACAGGTCAACTCCTAGTTGGTTAATTCTTCCCCCACTTCTTCTCACTAACCCCTCTCCATCCTTGCTTAGATCCTTTTGCACCCAACACTGCTTTCTTTTCCTTTCAGATCAAGTGTTTTCCGCTGTGTACTCTGCACCTTAAGGCCTCTTGCATCATCTCTCTCATATGAACCCACTGCCGAGTGCATGCTGGGAAAGCAGTCTACTAATAAGCTGCATTTCTAGCTGCCAGCACGTCTCTATTTTTCTTTCCTCATTTGAGGCATAATCTCATATAACTCGGGCTGGCCTTGAAAATTTCTGATTGTCCTGCTTCCATCTTTCGAGTACAAGGGTCATAATCCTGAGGTGGTACCACACCCAGTATTGTTGTCTGAGACAGTGTCTTATACTGTAGAACAGTCTACAGACTTCCCTCCCTTCTTCCTTTACTTTTTTCTTTTTTTTTTTTGTTTTTGTTTTTTGTTTTTCGAGACAGGGTTTCTCTGTGTAGCCCTGGCTGTCCTGGAACTCACTCTGTAGACCAGGCTGGCCTAGAACTCAGAAATCCGCCTGCCTCTGTCTCCCAAGTGCTGGGATTAAAGGCATGCACCACCACCGCCCGGCCAATCATTTCTTTCTATATTTGCCTTTGTCCTTCTCCAAATTGGCTGGCTTTTCCTTTCCAGGAGGGGTTTTTTCTTGTTGTTTTTGTTTGTTTGTTCATTTGCTTGCTTTTGTTTTCATTTTGTCTTTGTGAACTTTAGCCTGGTGATATTCACCTTGCTGGGGTGTTTCCAAGAGTGTTGGATTCCCTGGGACTGGATTTGACAGTCGGCAGCACTAAGCCACCACATGGGTGCTGAGAATTGAACCCCAGACCTTCAGATGAGTACGCATAAGCACTGAGTCATCTCTCCAGGGCCTCAACCAGGTTCTATGGTACATGCTTCTAATCAGACACTTAGGAAGTGCAAGCAAAACAACTAAGATCTCAGGGTGAACTACCTACCAAACTGAGCAGACGGGGCTACATAAGACTTGAGAAAAATGCTTTTTATTTGTTTGTTTGCTTTGTTGTTGTTGTTGCTGCTTTGGGGAGTTGTTTGTTTGTTTGTTTGTTTAGAAAAAAACAAAATCATCCAAAAACAAGCAGAAATAAACATAAGACTATAAAATTGAATAAATAAAAAAATCTTTTTTTGTTAGTGTTTTGTTTCTGAGACAAGGTCTCAGGTGTAGCCCTGACTAGGCCAGAACTTGGTGGTGTAGGCCAGACAGGTCTCAAACTCAGGGATCTGCTGGCCTCTGCCTCCTGCCTGAATGCTAGAACTAAGGATGTGTGCCATCGTGCCTGACTGATTTGTTATTTTTTTAAATTTTCAGTGTTTGTCTTCATTTCCACTGCCTACTCACTTTAATCCAGGCATTTCATATGTTCCTGGTTGTGTAGCTGGTTGTCTGTCCTGCCCTGTGTGTGCTGATGTAGTAGGGCCCTAGAAGGGGATCCCATAGCTTTAACGTTATAAACCTGGCTAAACTATTTATTTTGTTTGTTTCAGACAAGTCTCACTATGTATTCTTGGCTGACCTGGAATTCTTATAGACCAGGCTGTGTTCTGCCTTGGCTTTCCAAGCACTGAGCTTAAACGAGTGTGCCACCACACCCAGATTTAGTGAAAAGGTTGTTTGTCTTTTAAATTCCAATTTAAACTTTATTTTATGTATAGATGTTTTCCTATATGTATGCATATACATACCACCAAGTACCTTTGGAGGTTAGAAAGTCTCACTCAGAAAGAACTCTAGCATGTGAATAGGGCATAGAGGCTCCTGTCAGAAATCTGGGTACTTGGGAAGCTGAGGCAAAAGCTTTGTCAAAAATTCAAGGACAACCTGGGCAACAACATCAGGCTTTGTCTCAAATGCCATCAGCCTCAGGCCATTAGGTTACTTTCCTTAATCATCCAAAGCAGGAGTATGGTACCCACGTGGGAATGAGGAGTCCTTGCCTGTCCATAAGTCCCTGGACATTATTCAGTTTCTTTCCCACAAAGGAGGAGCAAGGGTTGTCTGCTATTACTGACCTACTCTAAAACCAGTGTTACTAGACTGTAGAAGAAGCACCTGAGGGGATTATGGAAATACAGATTCCTGGGACACACCCTCAAAGGAAAGATTCAGGAGATAAGCACAGCTTTTTAATTTAGATTTCCAGACAATTCCTCAATAAATTATAGATTACTTTTTCGTTTGTTTGTTTGTTTGTTTGTTTGTCGAGACAGGGTTTCTCTATGTAGCCCTGGCTGTCCTGGAACTCACTCTGTAGACCAGGCTGGCCTCGAACTCAGAAATCCGCCTGCCTCTGCCTCCCAAGTGCTGGGATTAAAGGTGTGAGCAACCACCGCCCGGCTAGATTACTTTTTTTTATGTTTTTTCTTTTTCTTTTCTTTTCTTTTTTTTTTTTTTTTTCCAGGTTTTTCGAGACAGGGTTTCTCTTTTAGCCCTGGCTGCCCTGGAACTCTCTCTGTAGACCAGGCTGACCTTGAACTCAGAAATCCGCCTGCCTCTGCCTTCCCAAGTGCTGGGATTAAAGGCGTGCGCCACCACCGCCCGGCACTTTCTTTTTTATTATTTACTTTTTTTTTTTTTTTGGACACTTTGTAACCCAGGATGAGTGGAAAAGTTTGCTTTTCACTTTCTCAAGGTTTCCTGTCTCTGGCTTGGTAGGAACTGTTGGGGTTTAAAGCCTCTAACTTGGAAGTTTAAAGCCTCCATCTTTTCTGGCTCAGCCTCCCCGGCACTGAAATTACTAGTGTGCACCACCCTGAAGGAGGGTCTTTCTATGTTGTCCAGTCAGAACTCTAGGTCATGACCCTCCCGCTTCTCTTTCTGCATCCGGAGCACTGAGGTTACAGACATTTGCCAGTATAACAAGCTCAAAAGTCTAAATTTTAAAAAAAGGAGGAGGTGGGGCCGGCTTTTAGTTTACTCAAGAACTCAGCTTTGTGCTATTAATTATCTACTGAGACCGAGAGAACTGATAAAATCGCTGTCAAAGAGAAGAGGGTGGAGAGAGGAGGAGGGGAAAGAGCTCAATTGGGCGACAGGAAGACAGGAAGTAGAAGGAGTCATTTACCTATAAAAGAAGTCGGCATTCATTTTGCTGCTGCTGCCTTTGTCGTCTCCCAAGCCTGCCTGAAAATGTCATACTTCGGCCTGGAGACTTACAACCAGGTAACTTTTCTTTCTAAGAGAACTGATTTTCTCTTGGGAGTTATTTTTCACTCTCTCTAGGTCTCCTGTCTCACTTCCCAGGAACTGCGGGGGTGGGGGTGAGGATGGGGGTGGGGTGTTTTAAGGCCTCAATCTTGGAATCCTTTCTGCTTGGTACTTTTCCCCCACATGCTTGACACTATGTATTTCCTGGGAGTAAAATGAAACTGTTTCCTAGATAAAGTGGTAAATCGTCCCAGACAAGGAGTGCTGTAGCTAGGATAAAAACCTACTGGAAAAGTGAGCTAAAATTAAGTGGAAATTTTTGATAACTTATACATTTAAAAAATAAAAACCATTTTTTTTCCTTATGAGAAGTATCCAGTTCCCAATACCTCTATAATCCCTGGTTGGTGGGTTTCCCCACCTGGGATTGTGTGATTCTGGGCCAGGTAAGGGTCACTGTACCAAACTAGATGATAGAACTGGCCAGGCCAAGTCATTACTGCCTTTAGGCTTCATCGTGTTGGTTTGGTTTAATTTGGTTTTTGGGTTTTGTTGTTGTTATTGTTGTTTGTTTGTTTTGTAGTTGTTTGGCTTTCCGAGACAGAGTTTCTCTCTCTCTGGCTGTCCTGGAACTTGTTCTATAGACCATGTGGCCAAGATATGCCTCCTAGTGCTGGGATTGAAAGCATTTGCCATTACCAGCTCCCCACCCCAGTGTTGTTTTTTGTGGTAACAAAAATGAATTTGTGTCTGGAGAACTTTGAAAAGATGCTATACAAATGGAAAAATAAATCAGTTATTTCAAGTTTGAAAGTTCTGGTGGTGGAGAGGTATCTACAAGAGAAGGGAGGGGATCAAATCTTCAGGAACTTCCTCAAGGAGGTGTCACTCCCTAGTTTATGCTTTGCTTTTCTGAGCCTTAGATTGCCCTTCCACGGTGGCCTGGTAGTTCCCAGTATCCTGCTTCCTGATGTTTTCTTTATTTCAACACTAAGACTCCGATGGTAAATGAATTCAGCAGCCTTGCCTCAAAAGTAAGCAGAATCCCACACTGCTTCTCTTTGCAGAACCAATCTGAGGAAGACTTGGATGAAGAAAGTGTGATTTTAACGCTGGTCCCATATACTGAGGAGCCAACCACAGAATATCCTACGGAATCAAATGTTTCTTCAGTCATAGACCACAAACCACCAGGTATCAGACTTAAGAATCTTGGTGAAAATAGTGTAGGTTTGAGATGGAATCCTCAGTAAGACTCTGGAAAGCCAAGAAAAGTACACTGTTGATACAAGGGTATGTGTTGCCTTGGCTAGCCTGCTGCTCTCTAGACCAGGCTGGCTTCAAACTCACAGAAATCCTCCACTCCCTCCACCCTCCAAACACCTGGCGCTGGGGTTAAGGGCTTACACCACCATATCAGGCAGGCTTCTTAAACCTCACTGAGATGCTTCAAAGTTCTCCCATCTCAGTTGCTAAGCCCCATGTACTACTATGTTTAAGGTGGGAATTAAGCAAGGTTCGAAGGAAGGCATCACACAGGAAGCTGTTACACGGCAGCTGGGTAGAAATTCAAAGATACCAGTAGTATGACCTTTTCCCAAAAAAATGAAGTTAAAGGATGTGGGTGGGGAGGCAGGACATTTGCCTAATATATACAAAAAAGTAAGTTAGAGCAACACCACTGCCTTAAAAAAAAAGATAAACACAGCGGGCATGGTGACTCTGCCTTTAATCTCAGCACTCGGGAGGCAGAGGCAGGTGAATCTCTTGACTTTGAGGACAGCCTGGTCTACAGAATGAGTCCAGGACAGCACAGGTTCTGTTACACATAGAAATCCTATATCACGGGGAAAAAAGTTGAACACATACTGTACTTCTTATGAAAACTGAACACTTTTAGAATATTTAATATTTTGTTTACTGAAAGGACTTGGTAGCAAAAGCCTGTAGTCCCAACACTTCTAAGGTAGGAAAATCAAGTTCCAAGTCTTCCTCAACTGCATATCGAGTGAAATCAGTGTAGGCTGTATGTTTTAAAACAAGATAAATAGGCTGGGCAGTGGTGGTGTATGTCTTTAATCCCAGCAGTTGGGAGGCAGAGGCAGGTGGATTTCTGAGTTTGAGGCCAGCCTGGTCTACAGATTGAGTTCCAGGACAGCCAGGACTATACAGAGAAAAAAAAAAAAAAAAAACAAGCGGGGGGGGGGGGGGGGCAGATTTCAGCTGTCTAGAATGCATACTGGCAGATTCATGAACATATGATTAAAATAAGAATTTTATTTAGGGTTTAAAATGTAAGTGTGGGTTACTGTCCTGGGTCTCCTATTTTATAGGCTGTGTGATCTTAGTTAAGTGAATTCCTGATTTTTTTCCCCTCATATTTGGAGGAAAACAAAAAGAAGGTATCTTTACATACAAAGCGGTTTGTGAGAAAAATCTTAAAGCAATCACCAAATGCTATTGCTTTCTCCCCGTTCTTCTCTCAGCCCGTTCTCTGGTGAGATATGAGGGAATCAAACACCCAACAAGAACCATACCGAGCACCACTCCTCCACTCACCCTGCCTCCGATTTGTGACGTGTCCCGGAACAAGCTTCGGGAGTGGTGTCGCTATCATAACTTGAGTACGGATGGCAAGGTCAGTGCCCTCCACTTGGGTTCCCTGTTACGTGAACTAGGTGTGGACAGTTTGATCTCCTTTTAACTTTATTTTTTCTTAATTTCCTTAGAAAGTTGAGGTTTATTTGAGACTTCGAAGGCATTCATATTCTAAACAAGAATGTGTAAGTGCTGGTTATGGTGATGGGGTGGGAGGTGGGCTCTCCCTGTGGGGTGAGCTGTCTTAACTGAAATTATCTGTAATCTCCCTTGAAGGCAGGGTTACTGAGGTTCGGGAGAACCAAGTATGTGGTTTGAACTCAGAAGGCCCCCCTCCCAGCCCCCTACCTTTAACCATTTTGTTTGTTTGTTTGTTTGTTTTGTCTGTTTTCTTTTTGGTTTTTGAGACAAGGTCTCATTGTGTAGCCCTGGACAGGCTGGAACTCAGAGATCCATCGACCTCTGCCTCCTGAGATTAAAAATGTGTGCCAGCACACTAGCAGGATATCTGGGAAAGGTCTCTAAGTGTCTTAGGGTGGCTATTAACCCCTGGTGGAGCTAAACAGATATATATGAACTCTGAATGCTCCATCTTCTACCTCCCAAGTCCCTCGATTACAGGCATGAGCCATTGTCCCTAGCTGTAAACTACTGAGGCAATCCTTTACCATGTGGTCTTCCTGCCTCAGCTTCCCCTGTCTAATAGTTGGGATTACAGGCCTGCATCACTCTGGCCCCACGTGAGTTATGATTCGAATGTAGTTCAGTAAGATTATTAAGTATTTAAACCCACTGGAACCCCCTGAGACAACAGCAGTTTTCCATCTCACCTGGGTTTTTTTGGTTTTAAAACACACCTGGGATCCCAGAACTGGGGTTGTGGGGGGCAATAGGGTCTACAGTTCAACGTCTTCCTCAGCCGTACAGAAAGTTCTAGGTCACCTCAAGAGAAAAGGAGCTAGATGGGTGGCAAATTTCAATCCTAGTACTCGGGAGACTGAAGCAGGAGGGTGGACAACAAATCCAAGGTCAGCCTGGGCTACAAAGTGAGAACAAAAACAAAACGAAATGAACAAAACAAATGAAAGCAAAAAATGAAAACATAGGCAGAAAAGGGAACAAAAACAAATCCCCCAAACAGAGGAGTGATTGGCCTTTTATCATGTAGGCCAGCCTGGTCTTGAACCTGTGATCTTGATCTTCAGTTTTTGTGCTATGTGTACACCATGTTCCTGGTACATACATTCTGGAGGCCAGAAGGAGGTTTCTCGAATCCTATCAGTGTGTCTACTCCTTTGTGTTGCTCGGTAGTTTTCTCAGCTATTCTGAAACCCTGCTAGCACCAACAAACCTGTCTCCCTCCTCTTAAGGAGCTATAGTTACAAGCACTTGTTGAGGACACCAGCTGATTACACATTGTTGCTGGAATCCTAATTCCAGTCCCATGATCGTCCCACCGAGCCATCTGTCTAGACCAATCTCTGCTTTTGGTTTTAACTACCAACATTCTCCACTTTGAGAACCAACACTCTAGAGAGAAGCAGTGTTTCCAAAATTGCCACCCACTGTGAAATTATGGTGAAGTTTGCATACCAAGCCTGAGCACTTTTGAATACCGGTGAATTTTGCTTTGCAGTATATTCCCAACACATCTCGTGAGGCCAGACTGAAGGTGGGTCCCAAGAAACCTAAGATAGTCTTCAGAGGAATCGGGCCTCCAAGCAGCTGCCAAAATCAGAAGCAGGAGAGCGGTATACTGGAAATTCTCACTTCACCTCAGGCGTCCACACTTGCAGCCTGGGGGAGAATTGCCATGAGAGCTGCTCAGTCCATGTCTCTGAATCGCTGTCCTCTTCCCTCTAATGTGGAGGCCTTTCTGCCACAAACCACTGGTAAGACCTCTGTAAAGGTGCGAGTGCTACTCTTTAGAAGCATGATTGAACATTGGCACGAGACAGAAAGACTAAGAAGTAACGGGGTTAAAGTCTGAAGACTAACCTGGTAGGGTGGTGCAATGTGTAACCTCAGCACTTGGGAGGTGGGGGCTGGTAGTTCCATGTCATCCTTCATTTTATGGTGAGGTCAAGGACACACCTGGGTAATCAAAAACTACATCTCCAAGAAGAGAACCTAGAACAGTGGTTCTCAATCTTCCTAAGGCCTCAACCCTTTAGTATGGCTCCTCATGATGTAGTGACTCCCCACCCATACAATTTTTTTTGGAGATAAAAGTTTATCATAGGGGTCGAGACTGACAGGTTGAGAACTACTGATGTAGAGGATAAATTTGATTACCACGTAAGACTTCATTTTTAAGTTGGGCCTGGTGGCACATGCCTTGCAAAGACAGGTGGATCTCCCTGAGTTCAAGGCCAGCCTGGTCTATGGAGTGAGTTTCAGGACCTCCGTAGTTACACAGAAAAACCCCATCTCAAACAAAACAAAACAAAAATCTGGGTGGTCATAACTACACAGGTTCATTATGTTGGAGTCTTCTTTTCCATCAATGTATAGTTCAGGACCTCAGCACGTTAGGTCTCTTGAAATCAGAACCCTCTAGGATCATTCTTTAGAATTGCACTGTACATTGGCTCTCCATCTTTCATGTTCCCATGTGATTTTTTTTTAAGTTTGCCAAGAATATTGAGCCTCTGGTTTGCTTTTGAGAAGACAACTGTTTACAGTATTGATTCTTTCAGTCTAAGACGACTGTGGGAGTCACATCATTTCACTTTCTTGGTTCCTTTTATTCCAACGTATGTATGCATGTAAGCATTGAAGCAATCGTGTATGAAATTTCCCTCCTTGATTTACCAGTCATGGTTCTTTTAGTCAGATCAGTACAAAGTAGTGTACTATAAGACAATCAGAATACCTGTGTCAGTTCATTAGAGAAAATGGTATTTAATACCATAAATACTGGCTACCTCTACTGTTATAGGGAAAACAAGGGTTTGTGGGGCTTGGCTCACTGTTAAGTCATGACTAGCATTCGTGAGGTCCTAGATTTAATCTCCAATATTGGGGAAAGAAAAGCAGAATACAAGTATTAACAATAAGTATATTGATACATAAACTGTTTAGCAAAGCCTTGAGCACAAAGTCAGCATTCCGCAAAGTGAGAGATTCTTGTGGTCAGAAACTGGCATCTGACTGGCTTTCCATTCATTGCACTCAGTTTATTTTGTTCAAATACTTAGTTTTTCAATGCACAGTAAATAAAGAGTTTTGACAGTTTATGAGCTAGCAGAAAAAGTGTTTGACTTTTAGCAAAATATAAGAGCAAATTCAAGAGCTTTCTGAAGGTGATAGAGAGCTGTCTTAATTGGCTGTTTCTTCTCCTCAGGATTCAGATGGTGTGTTGTCCATGGCAGGCAGTGCTCTGCAGATAAGCAAGGCTGGGTTCGCCTGCAATTTTATGCTGGTCAGACCTGGGTTCCAGATACTGCCCATAGGATGAATTTTCTCTTCCTGTTACCATCCTGCATTATCCCAGAACCAGGAGTAGAAGATAATTTGCTATGTCCTGACTGTGTTCACAGGTAACTCCTTAGTACCTCTTTAGGCATGGGAAACTGAAAAAGATGTCTAGATGAATTTCTGAATAACTGAACAGAAGCTAGAGAGCAAACATCCTATTTTTCTAATTTCCCATCTTGATCAGGTGAAAATAAGAAACGAATGGTTAGTGCAAAAGCAACTAGCACATAACTTCCTCTGTTCTGTAGCACTATTTCAGCTAAGAAGGATAATGAATTTTACAAATGTATTATAACAGATTCCATTCTTTCTAAATGTAAATCTGTAGAAGTACGGAACTGATCGTAGCTTTGATCTTAACAAAACAAAGAAAATCCCCATTCCTGTCCCAGTCAAAACTGTGGTAATGGGTTTTCTCCTGAGTATAAACAATGTACCCCACTAAATCATAAATCAGGGAACCAAAAGTCCAATAGAGCCACCCTGGAGGTGTGGGTGGTGATGTCTTCTTCCGCACTGAGAACTTCCCAAGTCTGGTATGAACTGCGTAAGTGTGGCTTATTCTTATAAGTCTAAACAATGTGCCTGACAAGTGTGGAACCTAGTCCAAAATCAAGACTATAAAAAGGGGCTGGCAATGTAGCTCAGTGGGCATAGTGTTTGCCTCAATTGAATAAGACCTTTGATTCGATCTCACCGTACAAAACCAGAGGTAGAGGCCAGCCTAGGCTATGTGAGACAAAGCCCCAAGGAAAGTGTACATTGGCCTTGTAAGTACTGCTTTTGATTTGAGTTATATTGATTTATTTTGTTGGCCCAGATTACTGATTATGTTTGAGGACACAGGCATGCCACAGCATAAGTGCCATGGTACATGTGATCACAATCAAAAACTGGGTTCTCATGTTCCCTAGTAGTGGGCACCTTTACCTGTCAAGACGTCTGCCAGTCCTGAACTTAACATCTATCCATGTACAAAACACCTTCTGCACTTTGAGAATATTTGGGCACATGGAATATGTGAACTCAGAGTATGGAGGCAGTCTTGACTGTAGCTTCTCATCAATCCTAGCATTCAGGAAAACCATCTCAGGGACTCCAGAAATGGAAAATGGGTTCCTTATTGTATGTGTTCATTTTGTTTTGGTCTTGAGTCAAAAAGTCTAGGCTGGCCGGGTGGTGGTGGCGCACGCCTTTAATCCCAGCACTTGGGAGGCAGAGGCAGGTGGATTTCTGAATTCGAGGCCAGCCTGGTTTACAGAGTGAGTTCCAGGACAGCCAGGGCTACACAGAAAAACCCTGTCTTGAAAAACCAAAAAAAAAAAAAAAAAAAAAAGCCTAGGCTGGCTTCAAACACAACAGAGATCCATCTACCTGCCTCTGCTAGTGCTGGCATTAAAGGTGTGTGCATGCTACACCCAGTTTTATCTTTGTTAACGGAAAACTCTAGATTCTCCCCATAGCAACTTTTAAAATTTTTTCCAACATTTGTCTTACAGCAACAAGAAGATCATGAGAAACTTTAAAATTAGAAGCCGTGCAAAGAAAAATGCCCTACCCCCAAATATGCCAGCTTAGACAACATCACGGTCTTACTCTGATCTGAAGGGAATGGAAAAAGCGAAGAAAAACATTCTGTGATTCCTATAATGGCTAAAAAAATTCCTGGACATCAATCTTCAGAAGCCCCTCCTCCTGTCTCTTCCAGCAGAGTGGAGCATCTGCGGACAAATCAGCATCCATCACTCTGATAATGCCCTGCTGAATCTTAACACCTGTGGCATCTCCTCATGGTCTTGTGCTGTATTTGTTAAATGCTTAGCTATCTGAGAAATAATTTTGTTTGTTTTAGTGGGTTTATTTTGCTGTACTTTTTTTTTTTCTTTTCACAGATTTTTTTTTTTTTTTTAAAGGGGGGAATTGGGAGCAGTCTCAAATTAGCAAAGCAGAAAGTACTTTTTTAAATAGTTTTGTTTTTTTGTTTTTTTTTGAGTAAGGCTCTATCGTGTAACTCTAGCTGGCCTGGAAATTGTAGGTATACCAGAAACTTGTGGTGGTTTTCCTAAGTGTTGGGATTTACATGCCTGAACCACACTGCCTAGGCAGTGTGGATATATTATTGACTATATTAACATTATAGAGTTCATTGCTTGTCCTAAACAATATGTGGGTGTTGGCAAGTATCTAGAGTTCCATACATGTGAAATCATATAGTATGCTACCTTCCAGGTTGGCTTTTACCTAGCAATATGCATGTGAGAAATATTCATGTCCTCGATTGATTTTTCTTTTTAATGCTGAGATTCCATTGTCCAAGACGAGCCTTCTGAATTGATGCTATTGCTGGTGGATACCTAGGTGTTTTTATATATTCAAGACAGGGTCTCTTGCAGCACAGGCTGGCCTTGAATATATTAATTTTTTAAAAAATATTACTTGACATTTCCCACTCTGATCACACTCATCATGCTTGTCTTGCACGTGGAGCCCCACCAATCCCGCCTCTAGGGCTACTCATATAGACATGAATACAGTGTATTCACTGGTGTACAGGCAGCTCACCAGCAACTAAACTGCTGATGGCTCCCCATGCCCCAGCAGTCATCAACTGAGTAGCTCCCCAGGAAGACCGTGTCTCCCACAAACCCTCATCTCTCCTTGGCTGAATGTTCATGGGCTTGATTGATCCCTGGGCCTTCATTTCCTAAGTGCTGAAGTGAACCACTATGTATAGTGCTGGATATTCAACCTGGGGTTGTGTGGTGCATACCAGCAAGTCACATACCTCACACAGCTACATTCCCAGCTGTAAATTTATGGTAAGGATAGACTCTCTGTAGAGCCCAGCCTGGTCCTCCAAATTCACAAACATGCCTCAAGTGTCTATTCAGTCTTATACATAGATTTGAGACAGTAGCGTCATGTGGCTTAGGCTTGGCTTTAGGGTGGGTAACCGAGTTTGATGCCAAACTCTTGATCTTGCAGAGGCTTCTCGTATCACCGGATTTAAAGGTGTGCCTCGACACCCAGATTGCAGGCATGTACCAGTGATACACTGCTAGGATTAAACAGTATCTTCCATAGCTTTGGGTGGCTTCAAACTTTCCTTGCAGCCAAGGATAACTTTGAACTTCTGAGCTCTTTTCCCACCAACCTAGTGCTAGCATGGGTATGTACCGCCATTTCCACTATTATGGAATGTTCTTAAGGTTGTGTGTATGCTCCTAGAGCAATTGATATATTGGACTATATCCCCTGCCTAGCATCCGCCCTTCTGTTTGTTGTGGCCCAGGCTGGCCTTGGAACTAATTCTACCTCAGCCTCCTCAGTGCCCTCATCCAGAGTAAAATGCACAGAGATCACAGGTGTGCACAGATTCTGCAAGACTGTAATCCCAGAACCTAGGAGGTGGAAGCCAGAGGGTGAGGAGGAGCACAAGGCCTCCCTTATATACGGCAAATGACAAGTTGAGGTCAGATTGGAGTACATAGTAATTTTAGGATTTTGCGGCTAGGCTGTGCCACGTGAGAACAAGCGGCTAGACTGTGCCACGTGAGAACAAACAGAAAAAGGACAGAGAAACCAAGGAAAAGAGGAGGAAAAACTCAAGTATCATGGGGGCGGGGGGTCAGAGAGATGTCTCAGAGGTTAAGAGGACGTTGCTCTTCTAGAAGTCTTAAGAGTTCAATAACCAGCAACCACATAGTGGCTCACAACCATCTATAATGAGATCTAGTGCCCTCTTCTGGCCTGCAGGTGTATGTGCAGGCGGAATGTTGTATTCATAATAATTTTTTTTAAAGAATTATTCGGACATTTAAAATGGACTTAGGCCATAGTTATTCAAGCTTTCAGTCTGCAGTGCAGACACCCAGACCTGTCTCCCTCCCCATGAAAATTGAAACATTGTTACATTGTTAACCTATGGCTCTTTGTACACAATGGGTTCCTCTTCCCTCAAAGTACCCAGAGGCAGAGGCAGCACAGAATTTTGCCTTGGTTCTGTCTCTGTCTCTCAAAATCAGGAACGTGTGGCTGCACTGGCTATACCGTATAATCTAAGGTATTTTTCGATTTCAAGAGCTTCAATTTGCTGAGCCTGGTGGCATATGCTTTTAATTCCAGAACTTGGGAAGCAGAGGGAAGCAGAGGGAGGCGGATCTCTGAGTTGTAGGGCCAACCTACCTGGGCTACAGAGTTCCTTTCAGGAGAGCCAGTGCTACACAGAGAAACCCTGCTTGGAGAGAAAAAAAAATCAAGAGCTTCAACTTAATCCAGTCTTCCAAGTCTCTTTTGCCGTCTAAACTATCTCCTTCTCAAGGCCCAAACAACAATTTGGAGAAAAATATATGATAATCAAAAAAAAAAAAAATCCCTGTCTTCAAACAATTCACAGTTTACAATTCACAATTCACAGAAAGTACCTACATGAGACCACGAAAGAAATTTCTCATGGTGTAGGTCCAGAAATGAAGCAGTGTTTGGTGTTTCCAAGATGGAAAGAAAAATAGAGGGTGCTTTGGTAGAAGGAGCAGCATGACAAGGCCTGGCCACGGGAGAATGATGTTTGTTTCAGTAGCTCTAATGAAATCAGGGCTATGCTCAGTGCAGGGAGACTACGGTGATTCAAATAAATCATAATCTATGCGTCGTCCCCCCCCCCCCCCCCCAAATCAGGCCTTGCAAGCAAGCTAAGCTATTCCTAATCTCTGTACTGACAAAGTATTCCTGGGTTTTACTCTGTAGGAACGGTGTGCAGACTTATTATTCCCTAAACAACCTAGTTTGTTATCTACGTATCCAGCCTTACATTGTACTAAGCATCACTCATAATGAAAGTGTGGAGCCGGGCATGGTGCATGCTTATAATCCTAGCACGTGGTGGGCAGAGACAGGTAGACATCTTTGTGAATTCCAGGCTAGCCAGAGATAAAAGGTGAAGACCTGTGTCCGAAGGGGGAAAAAAGAGATATAGAAGCATGTGGTTGGTGTACACTTAATCATTTTTGCTTAGACTTGAGAGCTTGCGTGTGTGTGTGTGTGTGTGTGTGTGTGTGTGTGTGTGTGTGTGAGACCTGGATCCAATCCCTTTGCAGGCAGTCATGGTAAACAAAAGTAAGACAATATACAAATGGGTTTTTTTTTTTTTTTTTTTCTCAAGACATGGTTTCTCTGTGTAGCCCTGGCTGTCCTGGAACTCATTTTGTAGACCAGGCTGGCCTCGAACTCAGAAATCCGCCTGCCTCTGCCTCCTAAGAGCTGGGATTAAAGGCGTGCGCCACCACAAATGGGTTTCATGATAGCAATTTCACTCCTTTCTAGTATTTGTTATTATTTATGTGTATGTTTGTCTACATGTATGTATGTATGTGGAGGCACCAGAGGTCACAAAAAAGTGTTGGAGTCAGCAGCTAGAGTTGTAGATAGCTGAGAGGTGTTTAATGTGGAGGAGGCAGCCAAAACTTGAGTCCTCTTTAAGACCCATAGGAAACAGTTTAGCCACCTGGAACTCCATTTAGTTTGGGCTATGCAAACATCTTTTTAAGCAATGTACTTTGACAGCCTAGGACCCTCAGCCCCACATACACCTCTTTCTGAACAATGTTCCAATATGTTAGCAATCTAGAACCCCCCACTTTCAGGTGGTTGCACACGAAGGTGTGTGAGGATGAGAGAGCCAACTTGGGGAAATTGGTTTTCTCCTTCCATGTGGGATCTGGGGATCAAATTTAGGTGTCATCCTTAGAGGAAAGTGCCTTTACCCTCTGAGGCATCTCACAGGCCCCATTTTTGTTTATAAGCATAACGTTTCATTGTGCATCTGTACCTCATTTCTTTTATCTGGGCTGTTTCCGTCTTCTAACTATTGTGGTTAATGTAGTAGTAAACACAGTTGTACACGAATCTCTGTAGTTTACTGACATAAAATACTTCAGGTATGTACTCAGAAGCGGGGTACCTGGGTCATCTGGTTTTGCAATTTGAGGAACCCCCATACTGACTTTCCTAGGGACAGACATATGTCCCCCACAGCAGTATACAAAGATTCCCTTTCTCTCCACCCTACCAAGCATTTGTTGCCATGTTTCTTCTGGCTGGTAGTCATTCCAACTGTGGTGAGCTGCAATCTCAATTTAGTCTAATTTACATTTGCCTGCTAGCCAAAGATGGGGAAGTCTGTTTGAAGAATTTGAGACATGATTGTAAGGCCTTTTGTTGTAATTTAACTTTGCATTAGAAATATCACTTGTCTTTTCAATGGTGTATTTCATCAAGATGGTGATTATACTGGTGTATTTTGTGGTACCCAACCAGGTTGTTAATATCTGTAATTCATGTTCCATAGAGAATTCTACAAAGGAAGTCTATGGGGGCAATTATCCCTTCACTGATAATTTTGATAATGTAGCTAAGAAATTAGAGTTTTCTTACCCTAGTCCATATGGCCCTTGGTTCCCTCAGCTATTTCTTGCCTCAACTACTATTTTCTCCAAGTGATCATTCAAAGGGTAATTCTATATCATGCTGGGCATGGTGGCTAATGCCTGTCATTTTACCACTCAGGAGGTGAGGCAGGGGGTTTACTGTGTGTTTCAAGCCAGGTTGGGATACAGTGAGATTACTACACCCCCAAATGATAATTCTATTTCAGGAATCCTCTC